TGAGGCGATCCGCGAGGCCCCTCCAGCGATACCCCAGGCCAGAGGCATCTAGAGCAGCCAAGGGTCTCTTGGGCCCTGGAAGCTGAAGCATTTGCTCCCCTCGCCACCACCCCGAGTGCATCGCATATTGCATGTCCTTGTGCATGCAGGCGCCGCTCATGTGCCCTGAACTTTGCATATGCATACAGGTGCCCTACGTGTGCACTGCAACATTGCTTGGTTCGGTGCATGCAAATGCTACACATATGCACGGTGTTTTAACATAGGCTTTGGTTCTGATCGCGTGTTGCTTGTTCCTGTGCAGTGGGATGCTATACGTGCACAAGCTTACAGGTGCCACATGTGTGCTGAATGCTGTGGGTAACTCACGAAGGAGCCACATATGTACACTGCAGTGTGGCATATTCAGTGCATACTCTGGCGTAAACGCTGCAATGTTGCATGTCCCTAGGCACGGGGATGCTACACGTGTGCAGTGTATTACATGTTTTCCTGAGTCCCTATCTATTCCCACAAGTGCCTTTCCCTGTGCCAGGGGCGCCCCCATGTTGCATCTGTTTGTGTAAAAGCAGCAGAGTTGCACAGACCCACCCCTTCCCCATCCTGGCACGGTGCCCAGGAACCATTGGGTGGGGCCTGAGCCCACATGGTTCAGGCAGTACCCAGGAGAGGCCTATGGCTCAGGGCCCTGGTCAGGCGGTTTGTGGCCTGGGCATCATGCCACCAGGAAGGTGGGCTGACTGGGGACACACCACGGTAGCCAGAACAAGTAGGTTAATCTGATGGCTCTGGTCTGAGAAGCCAGCAGGGGGCAGCTTTGCAATGAGGGTGGGATGGTTTCCGGGCAAACTTCTTGAAGGCTCTCTAGCCAGGAGGGGACCAATCCTGGGCAGGGAGGAGACTCCTTGGTCCTCCCAATCCCAACCCCACTTTACCCAATACTATCTCTGGAGTTTTATCACCCTCAAGACTGGGGCAAGATGGAAGAGCTCATATATCCCCAGGGGCCATACCAGGAAGGGACAGAGAACTCTCCCTGGTTCCTTTCCACTGTCCCTCCCCATTCAACAGTCAGTGACAGGTGTTGTGAACGATTGTGAGAGATTATCGACTTTAATGGAAGGAGGTAATAAGGGGCGATGAAGGAATCTCACCTGTCACCTTAAGGTAATTTATGAGCTATAGGAAGCAGGGAGGAGGGCTGGGCAGACATCTTCTCTTTCCCTGTGGGAGCCCCGGGAAAACAGTGCCTTGGCCTAGCACTGGCAGGAAGGTTCCTGGGTTCTTGCTAGCACCCTCAAACACACCCCAGCATATCTGGGTCTGAAGGCCCAGCTGCACTACAAAAGCTGAGCCAGGTGGGCCTGGTCAGCTGCAAAACAGGTTGGGAACCACCCTAGTGCAGTAGGAGATACTAGGTCCCTTCCTTGCTGTAAGAGACAATAGGGTTGCTGGGGTTGGGGTCTCAAGGAGGTGGACAAAAGTGGGGAAAGCGGTCAGGACATGGGTTGCCCCCAAGAATCCAAGGAGTGGCCCTTAGAAGTCTCCAGGACCCTGTCCTCCAGAGTTCCAGCCCTTTCCTCCTCTACAGAGAGCCTGCCTCCTTCTTTATGAATATTCATGATCATTTGCATACTAGAGACCCAGAGCCCAGAGAAACCCAGGCAGATCTCTTGCAGATGTGATGCAGCTGGATCCCTAAGGCCCCCCTCCCCCGTTTCCAGGATCCAGCTGGGTGAGGGGTAATAGGAGGGGCTGGCTGCAAAGAGACAGCAGCGTTTTTTGTCTGTTTCTCTTGTTTCTTGGTAACCCTCTGACTTCTTGACCCCATTCATTCAGCCACATCGATGGATGGATGCCCTAGAAGATACAGGTGGTAGGACAGAGTGAGGGACTGACACAGTTGGTACCTCATACCCCCAAGGAAGGGGAGTTCTCAGAGCAGGCTGGAGTGGGAGGGCTGTGGGAGCTGGGTGGACACACAGGACCTGCAAGGGTTGTGCAGAAGCCGGTGAACTAGGGCAGACCTGTGGAAGCCTCTCCCTGGAAGTGCCTCCTGCATCAGGATTTCCCACCTCCTTTCCCATGAGCCCCTGCCCTTCTAGACTCACTCTGGTGATAATGCCGCCCGCCCGCCGGCCTGGGAGGACTTGGAGTAATTACAAATCGCTTCCATATTCAAATCCAGCTGGTTGAGGAGAAATTACTTCTCTGAACAGCCCAGGCGGGGGTGGGAAGAACAAGTCTTAGCCCCAGCAGGGGCCTCCAGGGAGGCTGGGGCAGTCTGGGCACCGGAAGGGGTGCCTGTGAGCTTGAGCCCAGAGGGCTTGGGCAGACATAGCCCTATCCCCACATAGTGGACAAAGGACAGTGACCTCAGCCCTACAGCCCCATTGGGCCCCCCTCTGGAACCTCTAATGGGATGGAGGACCAACCCCACAGGGCAACCAGAGGCCAGGCTCCCCACCCTGTTCTCACGCTGCCATGCTAGGTGACCTTGAGAAAGTCCCTTTGGCTCTCTGGACCTCTGTTTCCTTATCTGTGAAGTGGTGTAAACCCTCTCAGCCTGGCTCCTGGAAGGTAAAAGGTATAGATTAGCAAGGGCTATGCCCTGGATAGGGGCCTTTTAAAATAACTATCTTATTATCAATTAATCAGTATTTTTATTAACAGTAACAACCACCAATGCACCAGCCGGGAGGCAGCAGAGCCAGCAAAGCTCAAGCCAGGGGGCAATTCACGAGAGGACGGTAGGTCAAGGAAGGGAGCTCCCCGGCCTCACCCGCCTGGCCTCAGCCTTGCCTCCCGCTGGACCAGTGCCGCTATGCTTCGTTGCCCTTTAAACAGATGAGAAAATGTTCTTCTTTCCTTCCCAATGATTTATTTGGCCCAGAGCCTAGACAGGTTTCCCTCCAGCAAGTGGGACCTAGGAGTGCCCCCCCTTCAGCCCCTCCCCACCATTGCCACTCAGCCAGATAATCCAGGACCAACCAAAGCCCTGGGTACCAAGACGTCCTTCCAGGACACCTATCAGGAACTCATATCCCCAAAGACACTCAAACCCACGTGACAATCTTCTCACCAAAGTCTGCCCAGAGCTCATAGGACCAATTCTTCACTGCTGTAAATGTCATGAATCCTAGAGGGCTGTGCTAGAAAAGGTGAAGTGCCCACTTCACCTACAGGAAGTTCTGCATGTCTAGCTTCCATCCTTCCTGCTGCAGATGGATTAGGAACCTAAAAAAACAAATCTGGGCTGGGTGTTTGTTCTGTATTTTGAGGAGGGAATGGAGGATTCATTGTTCCCTACCCATATCATTCCAAAGTTTTTTAGTTTCGTTTCGTTTTGTTTTGTTTTGTGTGTATCCCATTTATGCAGTACCGGTGTTCTCTGTTCCTCGGCCCCCTAGGGCAAAAGATTCAGAAACACTTTAAGGTCCTGGGTGGTCACACACCAGAGGATGTGCACAAGAGTTTACAGAGTCTGGCAACAAGAAGGTTCATTCATTCAACAAATATTTATTGAGTGTTTGCTATGTTCTAGGCACTGGGATCCAGTCCATCAGCAAGTTCGTCAGTTGCTTCTACCTCCCAAAATATCCCCAATCTATCTACTCTTCACACCCTCACTGCCAACACCAGAGTCCAAGCCTCCATTATCCAGTGCCTAGACTCTCCCTGACTTAATTGCTGGGCTCCCACCCCGACCTCTCTGATCCCGGTCCATTCTCCAGAAGCCACTGAGCCAACTCTTTCAAGGGTAAATCAGAGTTGTCTCTTAAACCCGCGGGGACTCCCCACAGCACTAAGCACTGTGGCCTCCCAAACCTTGCAGCTGTGGCCACACCAGCCACTCCAGACGCAGCTCTAGTCCCCACCTCCCCCCCACCCCACACTGTGTCCTAGTCAGTCACAGGAGTAGTCACTCTGAAAACTTGTGGCAGGGACTTGTCCATCTACTCAGAGCTGGATTCCCCGGGCACCTAGCACTATGCCAGATACGAGGTAGGTACTCAGTCTCTGTTGAGTGAATGCAGGGTCAAAGGGCAAGTAGAGACCCTTCCCTCACAGAGCTTTCAACCCGTCACCCTGGATGGATGCTCATCAGCAAAAGCGTGTCTCAGTATCTCACATGAACAATCAGCTGAGTTCAGGCCACGAAATCACCCAGATCTGGATCCCTGCCTCTCTCATGGCAGGGATGGCTGTGACACCTTCGGCAGGTCTCTTATGAGGTCTAAGCCTCAGTTTTCTCTTCTGTGAAATGGAAATAATGATTCCAGCTTAGCAGAGCTGACATGGGACACATGAGATGACAAAGGCAAGGAACCTCACCCAGGGAAATTCATGCCACTGGCATGAATGGGAGCCCCTTTCAGACTTCCTCAAGGCGGAGGGCTATTCCAGGTTCTGGGGACACGGAGGTTACTCCAAATTAGGGTTTCAGGCTTTACGCTTTCCCAGCTCCCCCACACTCCCCAAAAAGAGAGAGGCATAACAGCAGGAAGAGATAACAGCACAGTGCAGGGTGGGGTGGAGGTGGGGCACTGGAGCTGGGTCTGCTGAGATCATCGCAGATAAGGACGCCAGGAGCCCAGTAAGAGCCCCGCGTTCTGGTTCTGCCCATAGGGCCAGACAGTGCGCATGGAGAAGCAGGATCCAGATCCCTTTCCCTGCGACACCTCCTCTCCTTACTGGGGGCTTCCCTTCCCCTTCTGCCCTCCAGTCTGTGTAAACACACAGGAGCTCACATCTGCATGTCCTCATCCTGCCCAGTCTCCCAGTCGCATGGCTGTCCGGGGTTCACACGTACATCAGTTTGTACCACATATGACCCCAAACATGCACCCACCATTTTTCGGGTGGGGGCAACAGTTTGCCTCATTTATCAGTTCTGTCACCTCTTGCTTTGGGCTGGGGTCAGGTGCACTCCCTCTCAGGGTTGGCCTAAGCCAACAATTTGCTTCTGAACCCTAATCCCCACCTGCCTGCTGCAAATCTTAAGGACAAGGAGCCCTGGCAGCCACTCCAGCCACACAAGCCACTGTGCCTGGTGGACAGGCAGAGGGTGAAGGTGCCTGTGAAGAGCTGCTCCCAGCTTCCTGCCAGGGGGATAGGAAGGACAGTCCCTTAAGGGAGGGGTGGGGACACTCTCCCAGGCATGGGGCACACCAGCCGTGGAGGACCAGTGCATTCCAGCTGCCTGGGATGTCCCAGTCCTCTCCCCTGGGCTCTGTGCCACCTGGATCCTGCTGGACTGGACTTGTGCCAAGCAGGACACAATGGGCAGAATAGGCAGGGTGGGGTGACCTAGAGATTGGGGGGACCAGCTCATGCTGCCAAACCCCTTTATGGATAGACACTGTGCCAGCCTTTCACTTATTGTTAAAATTAACTCTCAGAACAACCCTAAAATTGGTATGCCACCCCCATTTCACAGATGAGGAAACTAGCTTAGAGAAAGGCAGAGCCAGGACCCATGCCTCCGCCTCAGGCTTCATTCAGGGTTTATGCAAGACCCTGCCTCAGTCCTGCCTCGTCCTCATCCTCCCTGCCACCCCCAGAGGACGACAAGCTGTGGGAAACAATTTATTTCAGGATTAGAGTTGAGCTTCCAGAGAAGACCAGCTCCCTGAGGGTGAGAGAAGTGGGGCGGCCTGACTGCCCGGGCTTGGCCCTTTAAGAACAGGTAGAGGCTGGACACCAGATTTGGGGGGAGGCAATGTGAGTTGCTGAGGGTGTTGGGAAGAGCAAGGCACAGGACCACTGACACCCACATGCCTGCAGGCATGACCCCTTTCCTCACTGACCCCCGAGAAGGACACCTACCCCTCCTGCTTGGATGTTCACGCAGCATATGGGCGGTTTGCTCTGGCAGGGAAGCAGTTGCTGCTGGATGAGGGGGTGGGCTTCCTGTCACTGCCAGCCTTGGCATGGCTGGACCTCAGGGTGCCCCGGACTTGGGGGTGAGGCCTGGGATGGATGGGGAGGGGAAGAGGTTCCTGAGTGTTGTGGTTGGGGGCAGGGGCCCTGGGAGCCTGGCTGAGCCAGTGTTCTGTGTCAGAGTGGGAGTGAGTGGGGCTGAGCTCGGGTACAGGAGTGGGTGGTTGTGTGCGTCAATGTGTAGGGGGAGAGTCTGTGTGTGTATGGTGTGCCTGTGCGCAGGTTTTGTGTGTGTCTGCCCAGGCCTTGTACGTCAGGCGCCTGGACCTGGCTCTGGATGTCTGCTCCGCGCATATGTCTGTCCGTCTGTCTGCATTTCCTTTTCTGCTTGTGTGCATGAACAGTGTAGAATGCGGACACATGTGTGGGGCTGAGGTTTGTCTAGGTGAACGCGAGGTGTGTCACTGGAGTTTCTATGCAGCCAGAGGGTGGTACTTCCTTGTGTTTCATGTGTGTTTAAGCTCGTGTGTGTGTGTATACGGAGGAAATGTTTTCAGACCTATGTGTTTGGTCTTTGCTGAGTCAGGATATGTGGCATTTGCTGGCCTGGGTGGGAGGTGTCCCTGTGTGTCAGTGTCTTTGACAGTCTCTGGTGTGTTTCCCTGTGTGCTGTGGGGAATGCCAGCCTGGTTTTCAGCTTCCAGTGAGGTCTCTGGGCAACACTATTTGGCATGTGTCTGTGGGGCTGGGTGTCTAGCGGGGGTGTGGGTCAGTGTGTGGTGGTCTGCAGGCGTGCCAGAGTGGCCTTGGGATTCTCATCTGCAAGGACTTGTGGAACTGCTTATCCAGGACACCTCTCCTGCTCCCAGGCTAAAACCTGGGCCATGTCCTCCACTGTCAGCCAGCTTGGACAGCCCTGTACCTGCAATGCCTCCCCTTCCTGAAGGAACCCTATCACTTCAGGTCAAGGTCACACAGTGGGGACAGCAGGGGTTCCTTTTCCTATGTCGTCTGGCACAGCTCCCAGCTCACAAAGGGCCTCACGGCTGAGGCCACCCACTCATGGAGCCCTGCTGGGTCCTCCTGGACTGAATTTTAAATTCCACTTGCTGGGGCTGGCAGGCCTGCATAGTGAACTTCGAGCTGGTGCTGGCCATGGCGGTGGCAGGGGTGCTGAGGGTGGGCACTCAGCTGCAGAAGAGAGCAAGTGGATTTGAATTTCAAAGGCAGCTGGGCCTCCAAGTGCATCTGCGTGATGCAATAGCGTGTGTTGGCAAATGCGCGATTGTGAGTGTGGCATGTCTGGGTACACTTGTTTTGTGACTATACCTTTGTGAGGCTGTGTGCAAGCCCTTGCATGGGTCCTGTGTCAGTGGGCTTGAGGGTTCATGGGTGACTGCCACCGTGTGAATGACCCTGAGGGCTTGTCACTGTGTGGATGCTGCTTCTGGGCAAGCCTTAGCATCTGAGAGTGTATATTTTTAGGAACGAGTCCCTATGAGTGTGTCTGTGCCTTTGTGTGTCCGTGTTCTGGCCGCTGTGTGTGTCTTTGGCAGAGTCGGTGCCTTTGTGTGCTTGTCTGTCTGTGTCACCGTGTGTCTCTGGAAGTGTTTGCGCCTGCCAGGGTTGGTGTGTCTGTGCCAGTGTGTGGTAGAGCATGGCCATGGGCTGGAGGGTACGGGTGGCCGGAGGGGTCCAGGCCTTCCTTGTCCCCATACTGTGCCAGTGCTGCCACTGCCCTCCGCAGCAGAACGCAGGGCGCTGGCGGCACACCGGCCCTCTCCAGTGGCCGGTTCGGCGACCCGCGGGCGCTAGATGGGCTCTCGAGAGGCAATGGCCCGAGAGGATGGGCCGTTAGCGCAAGGGG